TTTCTTTCTTTCTTTCTTTCTTTCTTTCTTTCTTTCTTTCTTTCTTTCTTTTCTGGTTAGTCAATTTATAGAGATGTTTTCTTATCTGTAAGAAGTGTATAAAAAGCCGATAGGTCTCTGTTTGGAAAATTGATCTGATCAATTGTTTCTGCTGATCCTTTGAAATTACCTATCTTCTTTTCTGGCTGCTTGTTTTTCTTCTGATCTACAGTTAAGTAGCTCTGCTGTGAGAGTCCAAAGTATGCTTTTTGAATTGTGACTTGATGTTTTTTTTAATCAATTTTTGGAAAATTAGATTTAATTTTACTTTTTTTTCTGAGAGACAACTTTGATGTATACATATCTTTTCTCTTGGTTGCATCCTGTTACTCTCTCTGTTCTTATGAGATTTCCAGATGACCAGTGTTCTGTTCTACTAAGCATTTTGCTATTTCCAGAGTCCGTGGAAGTGTATTTATAACACTCTTAGTGTCTGTCATTTTATTCACATCTGTTACTTTATTTGATCTTTTTGTAAATGGTGAAGCAGCCTCTTTGAACATCATACTATTAAAATTTATTCTTTGACAATTTCATACATATGCATAACATATTTGCTCCTATTCTCTGTGTTCTTTTATCTCCTTACTCCCTCAGGCTCCTTTCCAACATATTTACTTACTTTCATGCATGTACACGTGTGTGTGTGTGTGTGTGTGTGTGTGTGTGTGTGTGTGTCCATCCATCCATCCATTCATCCCACTGAGTTTAATTTGGATTGTTTGCATGCCTATGGTGTGGGGCTATTTACTGGATAGTGGGTAACTTACATTGGCTGCACCAATGAAGAAAAATTATTCTCTCAGATAGGGGGAAGGCCTCATGTGCTCCTCCTCCATTCTTACTAGAATATTGGTGGGCTTCATGTTGTCCAGGTAACAAAAGCTGTTGTGAATTCACAGGTGAACGCACTGTTAGTATTTAAGTAAGCTCTGTTAATGTCTTTCTGGGTCATTTCTGAGCCTGCTCTCTTTTTCCTCTTTGGAAGGACTGGGAATTGAACCTTAGGTAGAGCCTGGTACATGCTTGTGTACAAGTGATCTTCCACTGAGCTGTATCCCCAGGTTTTTGTTTGTTTGTTTGTTTGATGGTTTCTCTCTGTGGCCTGGCCTAGAACATGATCTTCCTGCTTCCCCATTCACAAGCTGCTGAAATGACAGGCTTGCACTGCTAGGCCTGGCAAGTCTGCTTTCTTCTTTTGTTGTGTGGTGCCCTTGCAGTGGTGTGTACATAGTCATAGTGCCTTTGAATGATCACACTTCTAACCCCACTGCTGTCAGGATGCTGGTAGGTGTTGTCAGGTGCAGTAGCTCAGTAGGATTGTAGACTTACATTACCTCTGAGTGCCCTCCTGCTGCTGGGCCTGAGGTATGACATGGACAGCACACTTGGGGAACAGGAGCAGCTCAGTGCGTAGACTGTTGTCTTGTCTTTACTGAGTCCACATAACTTCTCATTGGTCTGTTGAGATTTTTGCTCTGGTAAGAGAGGACTTGATCAGGGAAAGAAAAACAGCCTACACTAGCTCTCATTTTCTGGACTTGTGCTCTTACAAGGCTCACTGTCCTGCCAGGCCTGGCCCCAGTTTCCTCTCCATTATCTCAGACTGTCAGCAGGGCCCTGCTTTTCCACCATGACCTTTGCCTGGCTCTCTATTCTTGAGGCTTCTGGGCCCTTGACACCATTGCCATGTCAGTCCTGAAGGCTCTTTGTGCAGGGCTTCAGTGAGCATTACAGCTAACTTCTAATCATTGCTTACGCAATGTGGCTTAGTATCCAACAGTAATATTCACAGTGATCCACAAGATCTTTGGAAGCGTTGCTAAGTTGCACATAATTTCGCCCTAGATGGTATATTTTAGTTAGATATTGTTAGGCAGAGGCAAATAAGAAAATTGTATGAAAACGCCATTCTTTCTAACTGAAAATTAAGAACACCTATGTGCTAGAGCGATGTCTCATTGGTTAAGAGTACTTCATAGGAAGTCAGCAGGAGGTGATCTGTTATCTGTGGCTGCAGTTCTGTCACACTGCTGTAGTGAGCCAGGTGTCCTCAGGAGCATGTACATAACCGTAGTTTCTATGTGGGTTTTCTGATCATCTTTGGCAATGGGGTTTGGTAATGGGATTAATTTGTGACATGCCATATCCTGTGTGGCTGCATGTAAAAATGCTTTACTCAAAGTGAATAAACTGTAATTAATAAAACAATAAATAAATTTAAAAAAATGTTTTACTGTGCATTTTTCATGAGATGAAGTTCTAGCTGCTCTTCTTTCTCAGTTATTTTAAAATCCAAAAACCCTGTGTGGTTTGACTCAGTAAGTCATTAAGTGATGCATTTTCTTTTTTAGGACAAATTAATTATAATTATAATAAGTCCAAAATTAATGCTGAGGTATTTTCATCACTTGGAAATAACAATACAGTCTTTTGTAGTTATTTAAATGCTAAAAGTTAGTAGAAGTGCCTACTAAAAGCTAAAGTTTCCCATTTTTAATAGAGTAACAAGCAAGTAACCATTTGTACTAGTGTTTGGCTGTAGTTATTGTTCCTGTAACCCAGGTGCTTCCTGGGTAGTCAAAATCTAGAAGATAAATTTGATCAACTACATGGGAAGCTTATATGCCTTAAACTCCGTGGGGCCAGAAGAAAAGTACATCTGCTGAAGTCCTGCAGGAACCCCTTCCAACCCAGCCTCAGTGCAAATCTGCAGTCATGGATGCAGAGGCCCTTCTACCCTTTGAGAACTAGTGATTCTCCCTTTTCTGAGGCCCTGGGTCTCTTCTCTGCCTTGCTTTCCTTTGTTCTCTTTCATGGATGGATGGCCCCACAAGAGCATGTTACCAAGGCCTGGGACAGTCAGTGGAGTGACTAATAAAGTAGTGAAGATGATTGCATGAAAGTCATTTTCAAAATCACATTTATGTACTGAGGGACCAAAATTAACAATAAACTTTACATATTGTATGGTTTTTAATTATTTCAAAAAACCTTGTATAAAACTAACAGTAAACTTGATGCCCATATTTTATATTTCTGATTTTTTTCAAAGAACCTTTTACAAAATTATTTTGCAATAAAGTTTGGAAATAATTAAATATTTTAACTTAAAAAACCCTAAATTTCATATTTTGTTAAAATTTTAGTTGATGTGTGAACATATAATTGAACTAGTTAATGAGTTAACATGTAAGTACATGTTTTTTTTCAACTACTATTTTATGGATATAATCACTGTATTTTGATTTCTTAATTGTAGATTACAAGAGAAGACTTTGCCACGTTCGATTATATACTATGTATGGATGAAAGCAACCTGAGGTAATCATCTCTCTCTCTCTCTCTTACTGTCTGTGTCTGTCTGTCTGTCTGGTTTTTTGAGAAAGGGTTTCTCTGAACCCTGTTTGTCCTGTAACTCAGTCTGTAGATCAGGCTGGCCTCGAACTCAGAGGTACACCTGTCTCTGCTTCCTGAGTGCTGGGATTAAAGGCAAGTGCCACCACTGCTCAGTTTATGAGGTAATCATATTTTAAACAGCATTTCCGTCCTTCTCTCAATGGTGTTGCAGGCCCAGCAAGTTGTCCAGAATGACTTTCTATTGTCTTACGGTTTTTAATGTACTAGGTGGATGACAATCTACAGATTTACTCAGGAGGGCAGGAAGATCAAGGTAGAGTTGTCTCAGACATCTGTTTATAGAGTGTGCCTTCAAAAAGAGGGAGCCCAGCTAGTGCAGAGAATGGACGTGGAGACCTTCTGGTTTGGAGTATAGGGGTAGAGGTGATGCATTAATTCTGTTACTGCTGTAACAGATGAGGGCTGTCTCATACCTTATTTCCTCGTAAATGCTGCACTCTAGAGGAATATGATAAGAAGAGTTCACTGGTTTTATGGTTTTTTGATTAATCCATACTGGTGGGGTAGGGTGTTAAGTAGCAGTGATTGACTCCTTAATGTTGATGTGGTCTGCAGGTCCACACCCCTCATCAATAAATTCACTTTATGACCAGGGAAGGAATTGAGGGTCAGTGGACTAAGTTACTTCCTAAGTTCAGAGGACAGATGGGTGGCAGTCTAGAAGGGCCTAAAACCATAGCTCTGCCACCTTGACCTTCATGCTTTCTACCGAGCTTACTTGCTCTAACCACACTTGCTCCTGGCCTCACTTGGCTGTCCTTGCACTCAGTCCTACACTTTGTCCTGTTTTCATTTGCCCTGAACATTGTCCATACTATCCTTTTGTCTTGGGATATGGTATGTGTGGCTTTTTGAGGTTTTTTTTCCCCCCTGATGTTTCATGTATCTGAAATGGTATCTTTTTTATTGTATCAATATACATTTCACAGAAGGAAACTTAAGTATTGTGTGACTTCAAGATGTACATTTTGGGTGTCTGAATCAGCATGGTGGCACCGGTGGGAGTAGTCCCATAGCTCTGCTGAGCGCTCTGTTTCATTTCACATCGGGTTGCACTGTTGTATTTTGATAGGCTATTTCATAAACCCTGAACAGATGTCCCCATTTCACTTAAAACCATAGATCAGAAATCTAAGTGCATGTTTCGATCTTACAGAGATTTGAATAGAAAAAGTAATCAAGTTAAAAACTGCAAAGCTAAAATTGAGCTACTTGGGAGCTATGATCCACAGAAACAGCTCATTATTGAAGATCCCTATTATGTAAGTACACTTCAGGTTTGGAGCTGCTGTTAAGATGGGCAGGATGTATTCTGTGGTATAAAATGACAGGTTTGGGTCTTCTGAGGACATTGTCATTGTAAACCGTCGCTGGTTTTTCTTCTTATGTCCTTGCAGGGCAATGACTCTGACTTTGAGGTGGTGTACCAGCAATGTCTCAGGTGCTGCAAGGCCTTCCTGGAGAAGACTCGCTAGCTGTCCCTGCCCACCACCATTGAGCAACTCAGTCACCAGTGCCATGCCCAAAGGTGGTGGCAGTCCTCAGCCCTGTGTCCCACCTGTCTTCTCAGCTGACTTACTGTATGTCTTTGAAATAATTGTAGGTGGAAATTAGGTGTATATTCAAAAGGATAAAATTTTAAGTAAGACAGTTTGAGGAGTGGCTTAGCATTCTTAGACTAATCGAACATCTCACCTTGCCCTAATTACGAAATAGTGGAACAAGCAAATATGGAACAAAATAGAACACAGTAAAGTAAGGCTGGCCTCCAAAGTGCAGGTCAGCCCAGGCTGGTGGCCTGGCCTAACTGGGGTGTGTGTGGCCTGCACCCTCTGGTGCTGTTCGCTTGCCTTACACCTCTCTCCTCTAGACTCTTATTGTGACACTGACTCCATGCATAGCAGCCTTCCACTTAACAGTGGAGGAGTTTAAACTCAGACACACCGAGGGCATTCAGGTCTTTGCAAGAGAGGGGAAACTGGATGTGATAATGGGCCCACAAACCCAGCAGGCCATCCTGGGCTATACAGTGACACCCTGTCTAAAAAATCAGGAGAAATAACTAAAGATGGGAGTACCAGATTGATAAAATCGACATTTTACTCTTACTTGGTTTTTGTCTTGTTTTTTTGAAAGCTTTGTTCCTATTTGAGCCACTTTGCCTCTTAAAAAAAAAGGTAAGTGAGCTTAAATGGTGGTATATGTTCGTAAGTGTTCTTCAATCCACATTTGGAAAAGTCACAGGGAAGCCTAAGTAATGTTAGTGCATTTTCAGAAAATGACTTCAAATTCATATGGATATATGTCAGAAAAGAATGTGAATTAAACTGGGAAGTTATCAAATACAACCCAAATACAAATCTGGTGTCTGTCTGCATTCTTATTGACAAGTGAAAAAAACATGTAAAACATTGTCTCCATGTGCCTTTTTATTTGCTCTAGTGTTAAGTTTGTGTGCTTATTCTCAGCATTTGGAAGTAAAGTGATAACATAAGCACATTGCTGTGCTGTGCGTCTGAATAAGAGACTCCGGGAACTGTCTTTACCTATGGGCTTTCTTCATGTAGCTGATGTACCCTGTGGACTTCCTAGCTAAAGAGGTGATTACTATCTGTTTTAGCCTATCTTAACTGGCCACAACTGGTGACCTCCAGTCACGGAGAACTTGTAGTTAGAAGAAGAGGCATCCCTATGTTTGAAAGGAGCGCAGAGTCCTGGGAATGTGCAGGTGGCCGCTTGGCCAGGGCCCAGTCTCTGAAAGGAGGAAAGCAGCTATCCCAACACCCTCTTCTTACAGAAAGGCCATAATGTCATGGCAAAGACAGATACTTCACCAGTTGATTATTTATGGCACCTGTGGGGTTTGGGTCAGAGTTTTCCAGAGTTAAAAATTAGGAAGGGAAAGGGCAAGTAGTCATCCTCAGAAAGGAAGCATTACGTCAGAGCTCTCCATTCTAGTCTGGTAGTTGCTTCTGGATCCCAGATTTCTCTTTCATGTAAAATCCCATTGTTTTCTTGAAATTTTACATGTATATCTTAGATGCAGATCCTTGGAATGTGGGACTCTGATGGCTGCTTTGTTATGTGGCTGTGTGTATGAGCACCATGTGTTTATAAGGGCTCATGAACAGAGAGTTCAATCAAATTATATTTATTTTAAAAATACCCATTACGATTTGGAACTGTTCTTAGTGATTCTTCTTCCTTCAGCATTCTCCTACGTTCAAGTAGAAAATGGCGGATATGAACTTTGGAGTATTGATGGCCAAATGAGACCAAGTGATCAGGAATTTATGTAATTCAGTGCTTAGTAAGTCACCTCTGCATTTATGTATGTGTATCTGTACATATATGTATAATGTGTATAGAGCAATATATATATATTTTAATCAATGATCTAGAAGAGTCACTCTGAAGACTTCATTATACCAAACATTTATTTTCTTGTATTTATTTACAGTATTTACATATTGTACAATACCTGGAATGTACTTTTACATTTACAGAGGACAAATGGGACCAACCTGGGCATATTCACAGATACATATGCCACTGGCTTTAAAACAACTGAGGTTTTTTGGTTTTCATTAAAATTTTTCATGCAGTTCCAAACTATACTTTGGGAGTTTAATTGTAGAAGTAATACAAAATGTCAAATCATACTATGCTCTATGAAAATACAGTTTAATGTTTGGCCTATGTTTCTAAAGAAATATTTCTTGTGGTTCCACCTAATCTTAAAGGGGAATTACCTCATTTTACAGCACTATGCATTGAATGTGGAGTGTTCTCTGTTCTTATAATCTAAGAGTGGCAACTCTCAATGACAGATACACAGATTTGCTGAATGTATATTTATACACTGTCAGCAACATAGAAAATGCAAAGGAATTATGGAAGAGTGCAAAAATAAATCTCTGTCCACAGGAAATGGGCATGAAGATGGTCCTGTTCTCTGTTGGTTTCCAAGGCACTTTTCAAGGTTCCTGGTGTGTTGCTCCTCTGCATCTGAAAACAATTACACTTGATTTCATATAGCTCCTCACTTTTTATCACAAATGCTAGAGGAACTAGGAGTTCAGCAGTGTAACAACACATTTATAAACAAGGAGTCTGTTTCTCTATGTTCAGAATCTAGGGCCTTTCCCCACTCCCTCCTGGAAAACAACTTTATCCTTTGGTTAATGTGTGCTCACTGTGCCAAAGGGATGGAAGCCATCATGCACACCAGTGAGTAAGTACTTGCTAAAGTTAAGTTCTTGGTCATACATGTGTGACAGGTTTCTGTGGGTATTTCACCAACAGATTTGCAGTTTGTGTCACTTCTGGGAAAGTTCCCTTGCCTTATGCTTCACATGGTAAAGCTACTTAAAGAAAAAAAAAGAAAAAGAAAGAAAGAAAGAAAGAAAGAAAGAAAGAAAGAAAGAAAGAAA